GGACCTGGAAAAATATAAAACTGGGTACTGACTTACTGGCACACACTGGGTTAACAATTGTAGTGTGAAGAGTGGAAGAAAATACATACCCAGAAACTCCACCGTCATGATAATGCACTGATTTTTGTCAGGTTTTTGTAACTTTTACATTATATGTTTTAAGTAAAGCAAATTTATGGTTGGTTATATGTATTAACTCAATAATTATTTAAAACTCATTGCTTACTTAATTACTTATAGTAAGAAATATACTTTAAGTACCCCCATTGATTGCAGAATAACTTGGGAAAATATGTATTATGAGCCAACATTTATAATGCATTGCTTCTTTTTAGTATTGCTTCATGGATCTGTGAAATGTACTACATGGCTAATGATCCTCTGCAGAAAGAATTTATGGAATTTAGAACAAATTTCATAAAACAGAGAATACTGTGATATAGAAAGGCAAATGATAAAAATTTACCAATAATGCTCAAGATATGTTTAGTTCTTAGTATAACTTAGTATAACTGCCATTATTAAATTATACTTTCCAACAGGTAAAGAAAGTATTCCCAAGTGATTGTTTATACTGGGAGGAAAATCACATTCTGACTCATATGGGTCTGACCAATATTGAACATAAAGGGAATACTGTCCCTTCTAAAATTGCACTGCTCTCTATATATGTATACCAAGAGCCAGTCAAAGGAGAGTAGGATGACATATTAATTTTATTGAATATCTATTCTGATATCAGAATTACCTGACATTGAGAATTACTATTTATCCAAAATTAAGCTAAAATTATATGTAATATCTTATTTAATCATCTTTATCAGACCAGTTAATCATTTTCATTTTAACAGATGAGTGAAGTAAATGAGAGATATGGTAATCAATTTGCCCAGGATTACCTACTAAAAATTGGGAGAGATAAGATTTGAATCCAGACACTTTAAGATAGCACCTGGGTTATGATCACCTTATTATCATATACAATTGTATGAGCAAGAGAAAGAGGGGGAGAGAGAAGAATATATATATATATATATATATATATATATATATATATATACAAAATGCATATATACACACATACACAAGTATAGATACACTTTCATTAATACTGTTAGAGATAAACATGCATAAACATTCATTATACTATGAACATTTCTAGCCAATACCCATCTTTAATTGTGAATGTTATTATTTTAATTGTTCTCTTAATAGTATCGATTGCTTATATTAACTTGATAAAAACTGTAGCTACTTGAAGACAAGGAATGTCAACACAACTCTTGGAAATGGCACAGATAACAAAGGAGGAAATTCCAATGGTTGGGAATCCAGGGTTTTAGTTGACCACTTTGAAAGTAAGCCTTTGTAAAGTTTGGGCTACAGTCGCTGTTCACTGAACTTCTGAAAAAGAATTCCAAATCTGTGGCCCCTTCCTTCAGTTTCTGCCTTCTCCCATCCACCTACTCCCAACACGCCCCCCCCCCTTTCTGTCTCAAGCAGCTGGTTCTGTGCTTCTTAACTGAAATGTTCCAGTGGCTTTTCTAGCCATGCATCCCTGTGAACTTCTCAGCAGCAGCAGCAGAGCATCAGTTAGGCTTGTAACTGCTCTTGCATTAGTCTTAAAGTCCTTAAGGATGCTACACTCTCTTCCTAGGATAAAACATTCCCCTTTCCTGCTTTCTCTAAAAAATTATTTATTGCTCCCTATTGCTTTAACTCTATAGCAAGCTCATAAGGTGTTTTCTCCTTCACTATATGAGGGCCTAGTACTCTGATGCCCATACTGCTTATAGAGTGAGTCAGTGAATGGGAAATGCCTTACAAACAACAGAAACAAATGACAAGCAAGTATTCTAAGATGTTGAAATTTTATTTGCAGAGTTTATTAGAAAACCCTTTGTCTGTGAGAGCTTCAGTATATGAATAATATATAGAAGATGCTACATCAAGTTTGAAATAAGTTATGAGAATAGAAATAAGCCAAGAGAATAGAAAAATTATACATGAAGGTCATTTTGAGACTTTATTGCAATGTGTGGTTTATGAGAATGAAGAGATAGCAAAATTCTCTGGCTAGTAATGACATTGATTAACATTTTATATTACAAGGGAAATTAAAGCCAATTAAACCCATACAATTGGCAAAGTTTCTGAAAATTCTGCAATGTTTAGTTATAATTTTGTGCCAATGTTATTAATTTAAAAAGTTAGTGTAAATGTTAAATTATCTGTAGTATAGATAGAGCATATACTAAAATTTTGATGTAATTGCTTGTCGTTACAGTTATGTTCAACTGCAAAATTTATAACTGGACCCATCTCCTCATTCTTCACCCAAGTTTCAACTCTTAATATCTCTCCCACTTTTTGTGTGAGCTTAGTCAAACTTTCTGGAATGCATCATTAACTCACTCTTTTTTTTATTAAATTATTTGCTTATCCTAATTTGTTATACATGATGGCAGAATGCAATTCATTTCATATTACACATACAGAGTACAATTTTTCAAGTCACTGATTGTACACAAAGTATGTTCACACCATTTGTATCTTCATACATGTACTAGGGTAATGATGTCTAACTCATTCCACCATCATCCCTACCCCCTTGCCTCCTCCTTTCCCCTCCCTCACCTTTGCCCTATCTAAACTTCCTCCATTCCTCCCATGCTCTCCACCCAATTAATCGCCATTATTCGTCAGCATCCTATTATCAAAGAAAACATTTAGCCTTTGGTTTTTTTGAGATTGGCTTGCTTCACTTAGCATTATATTCTCGAACTTCATCCATTTACCTGGAAATGCCATGATTTTATTCTCTTTTAATGCTGAGTAATATTCCATTGTGTATAGAGACTAAAGTTTCCCTATCCATTCATCTACTGAAGGGCATCTAGGTTGGTTCCATAATTAGCTATTGTGAATTTTGCTGCTTGATATGTCTGTGTCCCTAGAGTATGCTGTTTTTAAAGCCTTTGGATATAAACCAAGAAGTGGGATAACTGGGTCAAATGGTGGTTCCTTTCCAAGTTTTCCAAGGAATCTCTATATTGCTTTCCAGATTGGCTGCACCAATTTGCAGTCTCACCAGCAATGCATGAGTGTGCCCTTTCCCCCACATCTTCAGCAACACTTATTGTTGTTTGTATTCTTGATAGCTGCAGTGAGATGAAATCATAGAGTTGTTTTGATTAGCATTTTTCTAATTGCTAGAGATGTTGAACTATTTTTCATATGTTTGTTGACTGACTGTATATCCTCTTCTGAGAAGTGTCTGTTCGGATCCTTGGCCCATTTATTGATTGGGTATTTGTGTTTTTGGTATTAAGTTTTTTAGTGCTTTATATATCCTAGAGGTTAGTGCTCTATCTGATGTGCTTGTCTTGCTGCAGGCCTCTACCATTTTTTTTCCTCTCTCTCTGGAAAGAAGAGTCTTGCTTTCCATTTTTCATATTAATTTCCTACTCATTTTTAGCCACTATCATTTTTAGCCTCTTTTTTTTTGGTACCAGAGATTTAACCCAGGGGTACTTAACTACTGAGCCACATTCTCAACCCTTTTTATTTTTTATTTTAAGACAGGATCTCACTAAACTGCTTAGATCCTCTCTAAGTTGCTGAGGCTGGCTTTGAACCTGTGATCTTCCCGCCTCAGTCTCCTATGCCATCTTAAGCACAATTTAAAATTTACTTCATAAAGAACAATTCTCTGGCTTCCTAATATATACTGATTAATATCATATTCTTATTTTTATAAAAACACATAATAATTGTACTAGCATGTTTATTGTTTTTGTTTTTTATTTAATATCACCAACACACTCCCTAGACATAAGATCCAAATTTAAAAGTACTTTACAATCTGTTTATTTCTGGACTGTACTCAAGGAACATTAATTTTTTTTTTTTTTCTTCATTTAGACAACATAGGAACATCATAAATACAAAAAGAGCACATTTTCTTTTTTAGTTTTTGAGCATCTACTGGCAGCAAGTGTCAGAGCTAAATTCTGCAACACTGGAAGTAACTAACTGCCTTTTATTATCTCTTTTCCAGCAATTACAAGAATACAAGTGAGATGAAAAGAAAATAGTTATTATTTTTAAATCACTGTCAAAGCAGAGACTTTTTAACATTTTCTGTGTTTTATGATGATACATTTACTTGCACATTTCCATCTAAGGAAATGATTAAAGACACCAATGATTAACCTTTTGGCAATTTTCAGTACACCGCCTATGTATTTCAAAAGCTATAATCTGAAAAATTACATTAGGTTACTCTATTTCATAAATTCTTAGTGGAGTTTTTTCCACATTTTAACATCTCTGAAAATTGGAATACACTTTTTTGAAAACTCTGGTAAGACCAAGAAATTGCCGATTTCAGAATCCTTTTGACTCAATGAAATATAGTTACACAAGTGAGGAAAAATGTGTTTTTTTTAAAGAAAAATTCAATGTAATTGCTATAGACAAATTAGAATCATTTTCTCTTTCATCTCTCATGGAGAATATTTTCATAATTGCTTAAAATTTTCCAAAATCAACTCAGTGAAAACCTAACATGTTTATAAAGCTTTTTAAAAAATCTGTATTTTACAAACATAAGCATTTTTTAATTCCAATGTCTTGACAGCTTTGTTTGAAAGAAACGGGATTGTACATCACCCTTTCCTATAGTCATAAACTTGAGTTTTATGTTTTAAATGGCTTGGTAGTTATGTTACAGTAAGAGTTGAAGGAAGAAAGCCCAACTTCTATTTTATGGATATGCATCAGTGTGGATAGAGAGGAATAATGGATTTGGTGCGAACTTTAAGCCTGGAGTTTTGGTAACTTCAGCCATTTTTAATGAAGATTTAGTGACAGCAGAGTGTTATCTTTTTGATGGTGGCGTCGGCACCTTGCGTTCAAGGCTGATTGATGCAAAGTCTGGTCATGTTAGCAATATGAATTGATGTATGCCAGCTGGTGTAACTCCAGGTTTTCATCAGGACAGTGACCTGCTGGACCGGCGGAAACATTGCTTCACTGTGCAGTCTGAGTCTGGGGAAGACCTCTACTTCTCCGTGGAGTTAGAGTGTGACCTTGCCCAGTGGGAAAGAGCCTTCCAAACGGCCACCTTTCTAGAAGTAGAACGGATACAGGTGAGAGTCTGGAAGGTAGCACCTGCGATAACCAGGGTTGCACAACCACAACCCTAGTGTTCTCATATAATCTCACGGCAGTATAAAATGACAGTCTAGTGAGTACTGACCTCCCTCTCAAATACATTCAATATTTCACCATTATTTTTAAATGAATGATAAAGCACCTCTGAATAATATTTTAGTTGTCCCACAACTTTAACTTTCTACACTATTTCCTATAAATCCTCAAAAATACATTTCTAATGTATTTGGACACTGTTCTACTTTGAATCTTTATAGAGAAAATGCTCTAATTTTAGTTCATTGTTTCCAAGGTCACATCCCATTCTCCAAACCTGACCACCTAATTTGTAGCTTGTTGTCTTCCTTCACATTTGGTGCCGTTCTAGAAAGCCTTGCCTTTTATGCCCTTGAAAACCATACATAGCATTTAAAACTTTTATTCAAAGTTCCTGTCACCCAGGAACATTTTTCTGACTTCTGATGTGTTCTGCTCACTGACTATCATGATTCCTTCCACAAATCCTGTACAAACCCTTTTTTCTTCCCACTTTTGAAAACATTATCACTTTCTTAAGTCTTGGATTGGAGTGACACAGGGCCATTCCCCACACTAAGCTGTAAGTGGCTTGAGAGTATTTTATTCACCTAGCCCCTGAAGTCCAATGCATTTTGCTCACATCAATTAACCAATAGATATTTACTGAAATTTCATTCTTCAAGGTATAGTCATATCTACATCAAACTTCAGAGGGCCTTCAGCCTCAATTCATGAGATCCTGAAATGGGACAGTTTCCCAGACCTCTAACAGATCTGTAGCAAAATTAAAATATTACAATGCATTTGTGCCATGCAAATGGATCCATAAATCAAAGACCTAAATACATATATGAACACTTAATTTTGGAAACAAATGTAATAGTTTAACATTGCATGTACCAGTATGGTAACCTATAGTAAGAGAGATGTATGCATGGTTTTAAACAAATTAAACTGATTTCTCTGATGACTAAGAGGAGTCACCACCTCAAGTTGCACCAGCTTGACATTTCAATCACAGAAATAGGATAGAGAGAAATCTCAAATTTTGGTAGTTCAATTGTTCATTTGACATTTTGTAATAATTCTAGTTTTTTCTTCATATATATAAACAGTTACAGAGTCTCAATTCAGTAAAATAGGTGTTTTATTTTTAGAGAGAGAAAATGTTTTAGTTTTTCGGTGGACACAACATCTTTATTTTATTTTTGTGTGGTGCTGAAGATCGAACCCAGCGCCCCGCGCATGCCAGGCGAGCATGCCACCACTTGAGCCATATCCCCAGCCAAAAATAAGTGTTTTAATGTCAAAAATGGAAAGAAGGAAAGCATCTTAAAACAGTGTTTATTTTTTTGTTTTGTTTTGTTTTTTTGTTTTTCCCCCCATACTGGGAACTGAACTCAGGGGCCATTCAGCTCCCTCACCAGCCTTTTTTTTTTTTTTTTGAGACAGGGTCTTGTTAATTTGCCAAGGCTGGTCTCAAACTTGTGATCCCCCTATCTCAGCCTCCCTAATCTCTGGGATTATAAACATGTTCCACTGTGCCTGGCTAATATTTTATTTTACATGTTAACATCTAAGGACATTTTTAAAAGTTACAATATAATTTAATTGAAAAGGAATTGGCAAATTTTAGTTATCATTTATCTGGAATATTTCACTTCACTTGGAAATAATAATTATCAATTTTTGAACATAAGTCTGAAGTTAAGATTTCATGATAAGTTTCCCATTCTTTAAACATAAGATAGAGGTGAAATTATGCTCTTGCTTTATATTTTAGACCTGTTCTTTGATTTCGGGTTTTGTGTTCTCTTACTTGATGTTGCATGAAATGTTTTGAACTATTCTATGAGTTGCTCACAGAGTCAGATTAAAATACATATCAAAAGTGAAAAGCCAAATATTTAATGTCTTTTAAGCTTTGAGCTTTTCTTAAGATTTTACCATTTCTTTTTTGTTAGTCATGATTGGCTGAATACTTGGTACTATTATTTTCAATATTCAAATATGTGAATATTTTTACATAAAAATATGTTTTTATTTTGTCTTTTCAATGTTTTACTATCATTAAAGTTGGTAAATAAAATAAATTTTAGCATTAATTTGATTTGCATTTTTTTTGCTTGGCTATAGACAGCTGTCATCCCAAAGGGCATATATATCATAAAAATATATATAACCAAAATTAAACAATAAATATATATTTCTATATTGAAAAATACTAAGTACAATTGTGATATGTTTTAATTAACATTATACATTAGAGAATTAAGCTTCAGTGGGTCTCAATTTTAAGAATATTTTTTTGTTTCAATTTGATGTTTATTGAAACAATGCAATTTAATCTGTAATGCTAAACTTAATGAGAGAAATTTAATGCATTATACTAAATACATTTTCACCTTGAAATTTTTTTTAAAAGACAGTACTTGAAAATAGCAACCAATTAAGTCTAAATTAGAATGAACTGGTATAGCATTGAACATTCCTTAATGTTGATGGCACTTTTAATAAAGTACTAATGGATGAAGGCAAGCATTCAAGATGCCCCTGTATTAAGCAAATATAATCATACACATAAATGGACTTTTGAGGCTCATTAAGTATATCCTCTAATCTACATATTTGAAAAATTGTACTCCAAATGAATAATTTTGTATGGTTATAATTGTCTTAATATTTTAAAATCAGGCTTAAAGACATGTATATGGCTTTTTGGTAAAAAGAATCTGATGTATTTAGTCATGATTACAGTCACAATGTGATTCATTAGTATATTTTATATGTAATATAAAAGTAAATGTGAAGTATAGATTGATATTGAATATTTACTTGAGATAGTATTCTCCCTCTCTCACACATTCTATATGTGAATTATATGTGAATTAATCATTTGAATATCCCATTATAGTTTGAAATTAAATGCAAGTAAAATTGGCCTATTTACATAACAATGCACCATGTTGTACATAAGGCCTAAGTCACTTCACATTTTATTTGTATAATTGTATCTTTAATTTGTATAATTGTAAATTTTATTATTTTTATTTATTTGTTCTCCAAAAATATTTACAAAAGTTAGAATATACTCTGATTTCTGTGTCAAAAGGCATTGCTTGCATATTTATAGATATTTTCAATCCTGGGTATTGAACCCAGGGTTTTGCCAGTGCTAAGAACTCTACCACTGGAACTCTACCACTGAGCTACACCCATGGCCCAAACTTGTTGATTTTTAAAGAAACAAATACAGGCAAGTGGTAAATGTTTGAACTTTGGGTAATAACTTGTACCATATGGAACACCCACAGAGACTTTCATGGCCAAGAAATATTATTTTGCCTTGGTTACTGAATCTGTGTTTATGTGCCGGAGAGTTCTTTTTTAATAATGTCCATGAAATGAGAATGTAAGTAAGAACTTAATCTTTTAAAATGTGGTGATATTTGACTACAGGATATAACGACTTAACATGATCTTGCCTACTCTTAAAATTTTATGCAGTTTTATTGTCAATATAGCAAGGAGTAAAAATTTTGCACAGCATAAAGACATGGTAAGAAGCAAGACTAGAAACTTGGCCTTGAGAACCCCTAGAAAAAAATCATAGAAACATTCTTTGCTTCTGTTTTACTAATAGATATATCAATAAAACTCTCCTCCTTATGCAATTATTTTTGATATTAAGTAATGTATAAGCTGCTTGGTATGGGAGCTATCACATATACCTCAATATTAATATTCCATCAATCCTATGAAAACTAACAGTATCTATTCTGTCTGTGTCTAGTGCAAGACGTATGCCTGTGTCCTAGAAAGTCATCTAATGGGCCTCACCATTGACTTTAGCACAGGATTTATCTGCTTTGATGCTGCAACAAAGGTAATGTGTTCACATGGACTTTAAGAGATGTGTTGCCTATATTTTAATTTGAGAACAAATTATGTCCTTTCAGCATTTTAATTGGTTAGTAAATGTCAAATTAAAGATCATTTGTGTTAATGAAACATACATTATATTACTCTGTTTTTAGAAAAATAATTTCAATATTTTTAGTTGAACAAATGTGGTGCAAACATAATTGTCCAAAATAAATATATGTCAACCTATATTCCAATATAAATATAAACATAAAATAAATAGATAATGTATATTGTATTTCTTTGTTCCTAAAGCTACAGCTTCATACCTGAAGGTATGAATTTTCTTCCCCCCTCACTAAAAAAATTAAAAAGCATTCTTTTATTATTTTTCTGTATCAATACGTATAAGCTGAAACTGAGGGAAAAACATGTTTTAGTTTGTATAAGTGACATGTTAGAGTTATAGATATAGTGGTGGAATTTGAGGTTTGAAGTTTTTAACCTGGGATCATATCCTTTGTAAACATTTGATTCAAAAATGATTTTGTGCTAACTGATAAATTGCCTACTTCACAATATTTGAATATGTGGGAGAGATATATGTTGAGTTGAAAGACACACCTTCTCATCTAGTCATGTATGAAAATTATTGAACCTTGGTGACTATGGAGTGACTCATGACAAAGCCAAAGCATTACACATTATTATTTAATTGGGAGTGACCATTGAGCTCCACAGATCTCATCCAGCTGCTAATTTCATTCCGGTCATTGCTACAGTTCCAGACGGGGACTCTCTTCCTCAGAGAACACTTGCATTCTCTTCTTTCCCATCAGGACATCTGATCCCAAGATCCAATCCACTTCCTCCTTTTGCCAAAGTGTGGCCTAAGATATAAATGGACATATTTCTTCTTACTAATTTTAAGGATTAATAAATAATCTCTTACTAGGAAACACACATATTTTATCTAGAAATTAAGATGTGTATAGTATTTTCAAAAGCTATTGCAAACAAAATAAGGGAATGACTCAAATGTCTGAGGGAGTTGGAGTATAGAAGACAGTGGGGAGTGTTCTGATCCTTTGATGATGGAAGTCTAATGTTGGGGAGCAAAGAAAGCATCATAGACAAATAGGATGCCATCTGGTGCTCTGAGAAATTGTGACATTTCATGATCCAGTGATTGACATTGTCAGGTATAAATTTACATTATCTAAGAATTTTTTTTTTTAATTTAACATTGTGGAATTAAGTAGTCATACAGGTCACATTTGGCCATTTAGTGTATTACTTTAGCTTGATGCTCAAAAGAATACTTCTGTAAAGAAGGAATTTTAGATGCAAGTGGCTCATTTGAATTCTTAATGAGACTGCCATCAAATCAGGATAGGACCGTGTTAATTTTGTAAATTAAATACTTTAATGATTAATCAATGTTAGTCTTCAATTAATTTAATGAATAACTTTAGTAATAAATTAAACATTATCAAAAAGGTAAGGTCTGATTTTCGAAAGGAAATATTATCACAAGTCATCAAACTCTTATCATGTGAATGTGAAAGAACCTCATACTGGTAAATTATAGAGAAGCAAAAGTCATCTGAACACATTTCTGGTGTCTGAATTTCTTGAATTTACTTTTGAGACTAGTATAATCCAAATCCTTCACTGTCCTTCATTTTCTGATCCTATCATTGGAAGCCTGGACCTTCGAGGTAATCTGAGATTTGATAAGGGAAGTACAGAATACATAAGCACTACAATGAATACGCCAATAGTGTTCATCACTCAGACTGTGGCATGTGGAGAGTGAGAGAAAACTATTGATATTAAGTCAGGGCAGCATTCATAAGCAGAGTCCTGAACAAGTGAACCACCTCATAGTTTTGCTGAAAGAATTTTGCCCCACTCAATGAAATGAGCCTAGAAGGAATTTTTAAATCCGAAAAAGAAAGTAAAATTGTTATGTAGACATTAAAATATTTTGTTCTAACAGTTTATTAAAGTAAATAATATACAACTATTTCATTTATTTGATAGTCATGTGTGGAAAGTATCCTTAAGCTTGGCAGATTTTCCAAAGTGTTTGAATTACCTTCACTGCAACAGTCCTGCTCATACCCCTTTGCTGAGCTGAGCATTTTATCATGTACTTCACCTTGACCTGCTCCTTCAAACTTAATATACTGAGGAAGCAAACCAAAGCTCCTATAGTAAAGTGTACAGTCCACACAAAGGAGGACAGGCAGTCTTCTGAATCACTAAATGCAGTTTCATATGAAGTAGATACTGCCCTGTTAATACATCAGTGAAAGGGTAATTGCTACATTAAATTTTTCTTTAACATAGCAATTGTATTTTTCATTTCTTACAATATTTTTTAAAATAAATAAAAATATGAATGATAATTTTAAAAAAAACTAAAAGATGAGGTTGGAAACTTTCATGGTAGGTATGGGAGCCTGTCTAATTTTTATTACACTAGAAATCTAAAACTTTGGAGGTACAGTGCTACTTCGGAATGTCAAGCTAATTCTCATTACTTGCCACCTGTGCTTGAAAGTTCTCAGGGTAAATTACTTCCTTTGATTTTCCAGAGAATACAAGAGGCAATAAAAAGCACTGTATTTTATGTAGGGTGGTTTCTGAGAGCAGCCTCAGGGAATTGGTTCTAGGACTATTACAATGTAATTGCTATGTAAATAGTTGTTATACTGATTGTTTAGGGAAAAATGACCGGGAAGAATTATCTGTACTCATTCTATACTTGTGTACTTTTCCCCATGTTTCTTCCCCAAGGCCATGTGAGTCTGTAGGAAAAAGGAGAGCCACCTCTACTTCAGTTGTCATTACCAACCTACCAAAGGCTGTGTGTGTTTTTGTGTTTCCCTTAGAGTTTCTGAGTGATTCCCTCACACAAAGTTGATTGTGAAGCTCAGAATGTTCTCTGTAAAGTGGATTGTGAAGCTCAAAATGTTCTCATTCTTCTTAAAATGCATACTGTTCAGCAGTAAATAAGAGTTTTCTCACTATTGTGTCAGAGTATAATATTGTAGTATTTATATAAGACACATAGCTAAAAGTCGCCAACAGGTTCTTTTAAATAAGTATATTTACATTAATTGTTTATATTTAGGGATAGAATTATTGTGTAAAAAATTCAGCAGTAACATCTGCAAAATATTCCTTTGATTTGTAAATAAATACTCAGTGAATACCTGCTATCTATAAAGAGAAATATAAGGGCCATATATGTCAGTCTTTGCAGATTAAGCAAGGTTTCAAAGAAATCACCTTTCACAGACAAAGAGAGGGTAAAATTATCCAGACATATATCTGCAAACAAAGAACAGAGTTGGAGAGCATAGGAGAAGAGAGATCAAATTTATGGATAACTAAGAACTAGCTTAAGAAAGAGGTCTTACTAAGGAATTTGGACTCAATCTTAACAGAGAAACACCTAGAAGAGTTTGAGACATGGGGAAGAAATGGTTGGAGGTGTACAAAACTAGTAGCATACCATACAATTGGGCAAAACTCAGAAGCTAAATTTTCAAAAATCTCTCCTCCAATGGGTGTCTCCCTCTCTATGAGGTTCTTCAGAAAACTGTGCATGGAGGATAAAGTCAAAGGAAAATATTATTGCAAAATGAGAGGGACAATTGTAATGGGTCCGTAGTGCTGGCTGGGCAAAATAGCCGGGGGTGACGAACAACTTGTGTACATTGATACTGCAGGAGTGGGAGCCATTTATTGTAGGACAGGAAGGGTATATATACATTACACACAGCTTATCTTAATTAGCATAAACTAGATACAGCAGTCAACCAATAAGGAATCTCCACACTTAATGGCTCGATGGCATTACTTCACAAACCACTCCCTCTGGCAAAATGCCAGGCACCATCCTGACTTGTTTACAGACCCTAACACCGTAGGACTCTAAAATGTTCAGTATGACTGAAAGTGAAGTTTCAAGGAGGGATAAAGTTGTAGAAATGATTAGGATTACATGATCAAGACATTTGACCTAAGTTTAATTTATAATGTGGAAGGCTACCCTAGCTGAAGCACAAATTTCATTAATGGGTGGGACCAACACTGAAGCAATTGACATTTATTTTTTCCTCTCAGTGGTTTAGAAGAATAACTTTCAAAGTTTGTATATAAGTGTTTGTAGGTGTGTGTTTTGATGCTGGAATTGAATCCAGGTCCTTGTAGACCTGCTGTTCAGGCAAACTACTACTGAGTTAGAAATCCAGACCCAGACATTTTTCAAACTATAAAATTTTATAGAAAAAAGAGGCACAAACTTTTTATTCATGTCAGACTGATAACCTCTGGATTCCAGAGACTGAAATGAGGATAAAGGCATTGGGGGAATCCCACATGGGTTCACCACTTACCCCTTATTCCACTATAGGTCATGCTTCTGCTGCAGATTTGAAAGGCTCTATTGGCTTTAAATGGAGCGGAAGGAATATTCATACTGTGTAAATGCCCATTGTGAGGATTGGGACACTATAAATCTTCACTCTTAATCCTGGGTAAAAGTATTTTCCAAATTACTGCTACTTCCCTGGTTGCTCAAAATTATTTTAGTCTGATAGGTGTTTTTGTTGTTGTTGTTATTGTTGTTTTAGTAGTTGAAATTATGAAATGCTCAGATACAATAATAAAATATCTTTTTTTTTTTACTACAGCATATCTAAGGGCCAGTACAGACACATAGCAGATTAAAATACTTCTGAAAAAAATATGATTGGTTAACAGATGTATGAAGATAATAAAGTTAAAGTTTAAAAAGTACCTTATTTAGGCATTAACTCTCTCACATAGTAGAAGCTATTGTAATGATTTTAGGGTTCCTTCTTATCTCCATTACTGATTTTCAGTGAATGTTAAATGCAACACATTACCTGAAGGTAATTTGTAACCCTCATGCACATGTATAGTAACCTTTGATTTAGCAGTTTGAATTCTGTGCAAAAAGGGACAATATAACCTTAACAAAAT